TTGTTTTCTCCTCCAGATTGTTCATCCAGCCTGTCTTATTTAAAAGACCTGCGGAGATAATAACATGCACAAAAAACAAGGCAGAGCAAAACCAAGCAACAAAAGAAAACAAAACAGCAATACCAACAAGCCAATGACAAAAAAACAAAAGAAAACACAACAACAAGAAAGAAAAGCTTGTAGTTAGATCAAGGACTGTTTGTTGGCCTTTAGGAGTGTTTTCTGGTCGAGTCTGATGGGGCGCCAAGCCCTGGCCACAAAGTCCATTTTTGGTATTCCCTGGGGACTTTGTTGTTCTGTTCCCCTTGCTGTCCTGTTGCACGCCCTTAGTGTTTTGCCTCGGTGTGGTGGGATCAGATCGGGCAGAATTCCCACACTGTGTCTCCAGTGTTGTCCCCTGTAGGACTATGGTTCAGTGAGGGATGTCGTGTCTCATAGTGAGGCTAGCCTTGAGGTCTTCTTTGTGGGTCAGCTGCTCTGAACGGGAATCTCGTTGTCAAGGCTTGGTGGGCCAGGATGTGCTCCACTATCTCTTCCTCCCCCTTCATATGTCCCGTGTGATCTGATCAGACATGTCCCTCTCCCTGAGCTGCAGATTCAGTGCTGTCTTCTGAAGGGAGGGGCAGGTGTCCATGTAGTTGGGATTGGGGCCGGCCCCTCAGACCTCTCCACTGTTTCCCTACTCCATGCTGGCATGTTGCATTCACATCTTGGAGCTCTGGATTGTAGTCTGGTCCCTCTTTCCCTGTGGAGATATAAACAATTCCCTCCCCTTGGGTGGTTTAGTGCTCTGTGCTCCTGTTACTCATTGTTTTCTTTTTTTCCCCTTTCCTCCTTTCCCCCCCCATCCTTTTTAGTTGGCTAACATATGTACCCCTGGATTTGGTAGAACTTTGTTTCAACACACTTCAAATAATTGTGATTTTACTGACATAGTATGTTTTGTATCTTTTATCAGAATATTTTAAAATGAAATGCTCCTAATGTGTAATTTACTTACTCCTAACTATATCTTTTCAGGGGAGTTCCTGATCGCTCTGAAGACACTGAATGGTTTTCGCGACCGTCGGAAGTTAATGAGGCTTTATTACAAGCAACCTCAGAAGTAGCTTCAGATCGAGTTAACAGTTGCTTCAGTTTATCTCAGTACCCGCTTACGGGGAGCACTGCTGGGGAGTCTCAGCACTCTTTTTTATTTCCTGAAGAAGAGCTTCATGAAGAGGCCGTAGCTGGTGAACGGAAAACCCCGAAAGACTCTGATAGTTACGATGCACCTTGTTCATATATGTCATTGAAGACACAAGATGTTGCACAGCAGTCAGAAACCAAGGCAGCTGGGAAAGATCTGATTTCTTCTCCAAGTTTTTCTGATCTAAGTGATGAAAGCGCAACTCTCAAAGGAAGCGATAGTTTCGGTGCTTGTTCGTATATGCAGTGTTGGGAACAGGAAGCTTTGCAGCAGTCTGAAACATGCGTAAACAGGAAGGACCATGACTCCTTTTCAGATTTATCTGACACAGTGGATGAAAACGAAACTCCCAAGGGAAATGACATGTCTGGTGACCCTCATTCAAGTAGAACCTGGTGGACACAGGGAGCCTCACCCCAGCCAAAAGCAAGTCCAGTCAGTACAGAGCCAGCGTCCTCTCCACGTGAAGTCACTTTCCATTTTAACAATCAAACGCCGAATTCCATCTTGTATTTGTGGGAAAGAAGCGAAGAGGTTCCCTTGACATCTGATAACCATTATTTTGAGAGTACTTATTTAAGGATTCCGACTGAAAAGGAGGTGAAACCGAAAACGGGTTCTTTGGAGAGTAATGAAAGAAGTGCAGGGCCGGGGGAAGAACGAGTTGTGAGCGATGACCAAATACCTTCAGCGGTGCATCTGCGACTCTTAGAAATGCAGCAGGCTGCGCATCTCATACTTCCTGGTGACGTCTTCCGAGTTTCCGAAGCGTACGTCCTCTCCAAGAGTCATGGAACCTCCACAATGGAGGTTCCTGGGGGCCCTCTTCAGACTGTTCCACCCAACCTGGGTGAGGCACGAGAGCAACTGTATTTCCAAAAGGACAGTAACCAGAAGGAAACGTCCATTTCTGGTGGGAAAAACCTTGCTGCGATGGAAGGCGTAGCCTTTGAGGCAGTTATTGCCTCTATCGAGCCTTCCCAGACGGGGAGTGCAGCCGATGAGATCCAAACTGACAACACAAAGTCTGTGACAAATGACAGTCCAGAAAAGGCAGCAGAAGATCCATCTTTTTCCTTAACAAGTTATAAGGATGAAAAATCTTTACTTGGCCAGCTTAGTCATCCACGCTATCAGTCTACCCCCGGGGTGTTTGAACCAACAGCCCCCAAACCATCGTTGCCTAAAGAGGACGACGATAGTTCCTTGTACTGGCATCCCGGTTTGAAACCACAACCTAATACTTTTCAGGAAATGCTCACTGCAGAGCCCACATCATCTCCTTTAAGTGAAACATCTCATAGGCAGTCTGTTGGTCCTGACAGAACACAGCCAGTTTTAATCCAGGGTGACACCAGACACGAACCATTTCTTCCCCTTGGGAAGATAAAGTCTGTGTCCGCTTTTGACCTCGCCGAGATGATAGACTCTTCAGACATTCATCCAGTGAACGTATCCTCTTCAGAGACTTTGCTTTTACAGGGATTAAAGCCCTTAACCCCTGAAGAAGTTGCACCTTCACCATTGGGTAAGGTTGGTAGGTCTAGTTTGGTAACTTTTGGCAGTGTCTCTGCTGGTGTGGGAAGTAGCTACTGGGCAAGTTTGGGTGGCGGGTGATGAAAAGTCACCAGGTGCTTCCTATTGGTCAGTGGTGTATCCCTATTAGAGTCTGCCGAGAGAAACTGCTGCGAGCTGATTGAGGCAGAGGTGAAATTCCTCAGCCTACAGAACCAAGTTCAGTTACTAAACAATAGAATTTTGCAAAATGATTTCTATTTTGTAGAGCACCCACTGGGGAAGGCCACGTCTGACATCATTACTCTGGATGTTGATACTGACTACCGTATCCTAGAGGAACATGCAATTGTGGGCAAGGAAAAAGCTGCTGAACTACTAAGAGAGGTGAGACAAGCTGGAAACAATGGAAGGGCCTCTCCAGTACTGTTTCAGGAAGTAATATTGTTACTTGCTTTTATTTTACTTTTTCCTGTTTCCCAGACATAGGCCTACGGTGACTTGACGGTGAGTGCATTGAGCTAGCAGCTTTGGAAAAGCTGGTGGATAATGTAGAAATGTACTCTGGCTCCCTGTACTCCCAGCCTACTTTGCAGCTACCATCTAAGGAAGGTGCCCATTGTGGAGAGTCTGTAAATTTCTCTATTTGACTTTTTGTGAGGTAGGGGAAAAGAAAGTTTTCATTTAAAATTGGAGATGAATGTAAAAGAACCATATATATACAGTGAACCCTCGCCACTTTGCGCTTCGACTTCCGCGGCTTCACTCTATCGCGGTTTTTGCGTAACAGCGCATGCTCTGTCATTACTGCCACTGATTGGCTCATACTGTACACGCTTGATGCCATAAATAATATAATAAATAATAAATGATAATTGTAACGTCCAAAATGTTTTACTGTATTTTCCCTTTTTCATTTAATAAATTGGGTAATACAAGTGTAATGGTGACTAAAGGGTGTTCTTTCATGTCCTCTATGCTCTAACTACAAAAATATTTGATTTACAAATAAGGAATCCTACTTCACGGAATTTCATTTATCACGGTAGGGTCTAGAACCAATTAACCGCGATAAACGAGGGTTCACTGTATATTTTTCTACTACCAACTCATGGTTTGTTAAATACTATCCAGAAATATTTGGATAGTTTGTGGTTCATTTGTTTGTGGTTGGTGTAAATATGTTTGTGTTTCATAGACCATAAGCCTTAGTGAGTTCTGTAGTCTCTTGGAAAAGGTCATCTCCCAGGAGCAGATAGCCTCATCTTCACCCCCCAGAGCAATTGGTGGATTTGAACTGCCTACCTTAAGGTTAGCAGCTGAGTCCTTAACCCACTGCACTCTCCAGGGTCCATATATAAGAGGGGGCTTGAAAATAGTTTGTGAAAATATTCCATTAACTTTTCATTTTATTTTTCCATGAACGTTTGAACCCCTTGATATATTCATATGTATATATGTGTATATGTGTGCGCGCGCATGTGGCTGTGTATAAATAGGGTACATAGTATATATTTACACATGAGAGACCAAAAAATTCATAGGAAAATTGAATGAAAAAAATAATGGTATTTGTTCATGAAAATTTTGAATCTAAATACACACCCTCAAATCTTATGAAAATTAACGAGTTTGTGTGTGTGTGTACATTGTGAATTTCGTGCAACGTGGTGCAGATGTGTGTTTTTCTAGCAAGAATCTGTGCGATCTAGTAACACTAAGGAACTTCCTTTTTAGCAGTTCACTGACTTCACTATCAATGTTTCCCTGTGTGCGTTTTGAAAGCGCCCTGGTAGCATGGGGTGAAGTCCTCTGTTGCTAACTGGAAGGTTGGCGGTGTGAACTCTAGCTGCTCTGGAGCGACATGCACCCCAAGAGGCAGTTGTTGCTGTGAGTCACCAGCTTCTTGATGGCACACAGCACCACCATCACCACCTTTGTTTCAAGAGGTTTGAGGGCTGCTGTGTGCTTTGGTAACCGATCACACAATGTTATTTTCCTTCTAAGCATTTATAGAAAAGGTTCTGCCTTCCCCCATTACCCTTCTCTTCTTCACAACACACTCCTTTCTCATAAAAACAAAGTCCTTGACAGAAATCAGACCATAATCCAAGTCATTAGTCATATTTTAATAACATTAGTATGATTACAGTAGTAATCATATTATTATAAGGAGTAAATTTTTGAGGAATAGCACACATTTTAGGTCTTCTGCCTGGAGTATTCTATACAGCCAACCTTCCAGAAACTCTGGGTAATTTGTAAAGTCTTTGAGTTGACTGACCAACTGCTAAATTGCAGGGTTGAAAATACAATTTTTCTGAAAAAGAGGTATAGGTCTCCTTTGAAGCAGTTGAAGTCTGAAATTAATAGCATCTTTTTTGCTTTCTTCATTTTCTCCCTCTTTTTATAGGTAGACCACTCTAATCTGAGTGCTGATCGGTCTTTTTCATCTACATTGTCTTCGTTTGGTTCTCATGAGACACCCAGAGAGTCAGAATATCACTCGTCAGATCTCAGAATGTTGCGAGTATCTCCGGAGAGTGCATCAAAGACTCTCAGACTGTCAGCAGGTATGTAGGAAAAGGAGGTGATAGATGTCCAGGTGATTAAAAATATACTTTTCTATAAATACAATGCCAACCTATATAAATCTGCAGTTTTTTTTGTTGTTGTTGTTTTTAACTAAAACAGAAATGGAAAGGATGGATTTTACAGTATTACTCTTTAGTGGAGGGATTTGTTGAATGGGTGTGAGGGAGACATAGTAGTAGGAATTTAATGAGAGAAGAGTTGCATTGATTAGCCTGCATAGTTGTTAGTCTGGGAGACTTTAGAAGGAACAGAGATTTATTTATAAAGCTGAATAGATAAGAGTTAACTTGAGAGCTAGAAGAATGTGTATTAAGAGCTAGTAGATTTGATTGTTCATGATCACTTTGAAGGAAACAGCTGTGGATTGGATAGCAGATGTTGAATGAAGATCACTGGCGGGAGTTGGCTGAGATTTTTGAGGCTACCTTATTCAGTTAGCTAACTATGTTTAAATATTTTCTGATTGATGTAGGTGGAAGATTTAGGGTTTAGGGAAAGCTTTGAGTTAGACCTTGAAGTCTTAACAACAACAACAAAAACCCCAAAAATGAATAGGAGTAACTGAGTTGCCAAGAGAAAGTGGTGGGAGGAGGGTGGACTAGAAGCTGTATGAGCTGAACCTCAAAAAGGAATTATTGTTTGTCTCAGGAAGATAGAAAATCACGGTAAGGGAAGTGTTGTAAGAAGGTAGGAATTTGCGGAAAGACAGAGGCAGTAGGTCTCACTGGGAAAAGGCAAGTTGTTGCTAGTGCAGAAAGTTAGCGTTTTCTTTGAAAATTTTCAGACAGGTTATTTACTGAATAGCAGGTTGTTTCCAGAAAGCATAGAGGAAAGATGATGGTAGGTGGGGATGGTGGGACAGAGTTAGGGGAACAACCAAAGGGCCAGGTGACTGAAGATATTAACTTTTTGTCTAGACCATGAGTGTCAGGGATGAGCAGGGTTGAAGTGACTTGGCTACAAATGGCCAAATTTTATCGGGAATAATTGTGATGCCAGAATGGTGCCAGTTGATATTGAATCTAGATGCAGGAACTAGTTGATTGGCAGCCGTAGCATTTGATGCGGGTATCATGTTTGACACTGCCTTTCTGTTGGCTCTCTTTTATGACTTAACGGCTACCCAATCCCCACCCAAGTTGATGCCCCGATATTTACAGTTGCAGAGATGATAGGATCGTGATTTGTTTATATATTTTTTCTTTTGTCAAGTAACACTATATGCTTGAATTTTAAATTTTGTTTTATTTTGACAGTCCTCACAAACATGAAAAAAACTCTAGGTACCTGGGATATACAGATTTCCCATGGTCCTTACCTTCAGGGGAAATGATGTTTAAATCATGTATACCATATACACAGAATTGAATAATTATGAAGGGGCTTCAAAAAGTCCATGTGAAAAATAGCATTATCTTCCTATTCCAATTGTCCATGCACTTTGTGAAGCCTCCTTGAATGGGTGTGTTTTTGTGTTTCTAACTGACCTCTTTGACTTAGCATAATGCTTTCAAGGTTTGTTCATATAAGAGCATGTACTACTCATTTCTTTGTATTGCCCGATAAAAATGAATGCTCCATCACATTTTATTTCTTCACTTACCAATGCTGATAGACATTTGGGTTGTTTGCACTTTTTGATTGCTTTGAAAATGCTGTTATGAACTTTGTGTATAATTTTTGTGGAGCTTTATATTATTTACTCTGGGATGTATACCTAAGAGTGGAATTGATGGATCATTGGATAACTCTGTTTAACAATTTGAGGAGTTGTTAACTGCTTTCCAAAGTATATGCATTATTTTACTTTCCTCCAACCAGTGAGTTTTGTGAATTCCAGTTTATCAGCCTCATCACCAAAGCTTGTTATTTTCTGTCTTTTGTACGATAATCTTTCTAATGGGCCTAACATGATAGCTTACTGTGGTTGTTCCTTGCATTTCTCTAGTGGATAATAATGTTAAGTATCTTTATATACGTGCTTATTAGTCACTTGTTTGGAGAACAATTTGGAGAAATCTTTGGGGGAAAGACCCCGTACCCATCTTTTAAAAACAGGCTTTATTTTGTAGAGCAGGTTTAGACTTACAGGAATATTGCACAGAAATGTGGGTTTGGAAAACTGGTATCCACCATTACAGATTCATGCTGAAACAGTTCATTTTCTTAAAAATGCCTACCCGTCTCATCCCTACCCTTCTCTGGAACTCCTGGAAACTTTCTCTGTAAGCATCTCACGGTATAGTTTTCTTAGGCTGTTTTCTTTCGCTTAGTAATGTGAATTTAGATTCCTTCATGTCTTTCTGAAGCTTGATAACTTTCTAAATTTTTGTGGTACTCCATTGTATGGGTCTACTGCATTTTATTCACTAATTGAAGGACATCTTGGTTGCTTTCAAGTTTTGGCAATTATGAATGAATCTGCTGTGAATATTCCTAACAAACTATGAGTAACATTGTGAAGAATGAGAATTCCAGAACACTTGATTGTGCTCATGTGGAACTGTACAGAGACTAAGAGGCAGTTGTTTGAACAGAATGAGATACTGTGTTCCTTAAATGAGGAGAGGTGTGCACCACAGTTAGGTCTTTTTAACTTACTTATTCCATCTACTAGCAAGTAATCCGAGTAGCTGCACTGTCTGATGAATGCGGTGTCAGGGTTGAGGGAAGGTAAAGGCTCAGTTGCAACTTGTGACATGCACATGACACAACTTGCTTGCTGAAAGTGAGGAGGACTTGAAGCATTTACTGATGAAGATCAAAGACGATTGCCTTCAGACTGGATTCCACCTCAATGTAAAGAAAACAAAAATCCTCACAACTAGACCAGTAAACAACATCCTGAGGAGCAGAGAAAAGATGCAAGTTGTCAAGGAGTTAATTTGACTCCCATGGAAGCAGCCAAACAACCTATTGGGCCAATCTGCTGCCCAAGACCTTGTTAATGTCTTAAAGAGTAAAGATGTAACTTGAGGACTAAGGTATACCTGAGAAGACCCTGGCATGGTCACTGGCCTCACAGGCTTGTGAGAACTGGACACCGAGGAAGGAAGACTACAGAAGAATTAGTGCATTTAAATTAAGGTGTTGGTGAAGAATGTTGAATAGACCCGGGACTTCCAGAAGAAAGAATAAATCTGTCTTGGACTATAAGCGTGGATGGTTAGGCTTCATCTCAAGTATTTTGGAAATGGTATCAGGAAGGACCAGACTCTGGAAAAGGCTATTAATTATGCTTATAAAGCATAAAATAAGAAGGCTTTCAATGAAATGGATTAACACAGTAGCTGCAAAAATGAGCTCAAATGTAGGAGGGATGATGAGGCTGTCATGGGCCCTGGTGGCCCTTCATTCTGTTGTACGTAGGGTCAGTATGAGTAGAAACGGACTCCACAGCATGTCACAACCACACTTGTCTCAGTGGTTCTACTGTTTAGTTTTAAAAGTAGTTCAATGAATCATTCCCACTTTGTAAGTACAAAGGTTTTAATAATTTCTTCATATACGTAGAGTACCCTATCACATGATGTTGGCATTTTTTCTTTAACCATCAAATAGCATTTAAGAAACTCATGAAGCGAATGATCGTCTGTTGTTCTTTCCTTTCTGATCTTACAAGCCTTTTAATACAAGCCATTTCCTTTTTGTTTGGCGCTCTCCTCAACTCTCCTTTGAGGGTGGGTCTGCTAGCAACAATTCGTTATTTACCCTTTCCTCGCTGACGATCCTGTCGCTGGCTAGTGGACGTAGGGCTAGCAGGTCTTTTCACTTTTTGCAAATTGTCGTGCCACATCCTTCTGGCTTCCGTGCTTTCAGATGAGAAATCAACTGGTTCAAGTTGATAAGTGCAGTATCGATGATGCATCACTTACCGATAGATCCTTGCAGAATGTTCTTTGCCTTTAAATTTCAGAAATCTCATGATGATTTGTAATTAAATATGATCATCTTTACATTTACTTTGCGGTTCCCTCAGCTTGTTGAAGCTGCTGAAAGTTTGTCTTATGCTAAACTTGTGAAATTTTCACAAACTATTTCAATATTTCTTTAACTTCTTTGCCCCCCCCTTTTTATTCTTTGTTTCCTTTCTCGTTTACACCCTGATGATAGGAATTGTTAGACCTTTTGTGATAGTCCAACAGGTTTTTGTGGCTGTGTTCATTTTTTTGTTTGTTCAGGTTTTAAAAATTGTGGAACTCTTTTTTTCAAGTCCATGGGTTCTTGCTTTTTATCTCCACTCTACTATTGAGCCATTTTTTATGTCATTCTGTTTCTCCAATCTATTATTGCTACTTTACTCATCCTAATAATTTCTGTTTCTTTGCTGAAATGTTCTGTTTTTTCATGTTTCAAGATAATTTTTGTCCCTTTGGGCAAATTTATATTGACTGCTTTAAATTCCTTGATTCCAACATCTGAGTCTTCTTGGTCTCGGTGCCATTTGATTATCGTTTCCCATTTAAACTGAGACTCTCCTGGTTCTTGGTATCACAGATGACTTTCGTTAGTATCCTGGACATTTTGGGTGTTGTTAAGCAACTTTGGATCCTATTTAATCAAACGTCTAGTTTATCGGTCACTTAAGTTTACCTATGGGCAGTAGATAGATCCTAGCCTACTTCTGTGAACTGTGATTCCAAAGAATATTTAATTTGTAGAGAGGCCTGTATTCTGGGCTGCTTTTTCCACTGTGCTTATGATTGCTGGTGATGAGAATGGAGTGGAATAGTTCCCAGGCCTGCTGCTGCTGGGTAAGAGGTGAGAGATGTCCTCAGGGTGATGAGAATGGATTGGAATAGTTCCCAGGCCTGCTGCTGCTGGGTAAGGAGGTGAGAGATGTCCTCAGGGTGAGGAAAGCTTCCAGGTACCACTGGGCCATCCACTCGGTTCTTGCTGATGCTGCTCACAATGGTAGATAGCACTTCCTTAGGCTTCCTGGTGGAGGTTGCTGGATTTGCAAGAATTTTTCCTGGGCCACCAAGTGCTAGTGAGTTTCCTGATCAATTGATGTCAGCATTAGTTAGGCTTATCTGATTGACTTCATTATGTATTAGTATTCCTGCCATCGGTTGTATTTAAAACCTAACCCATGGACAGGAGGAGAATCAATGGAAATAGAGGAAAGAGCTGGGAGGCAAAGGGTATTTATAGAGCTCTAGATAAAGACATGTACATATACAAATAT